TCTGGGGTTCCTCTCACTGTGTGCACTGAGGCAACTGTTGCTGCTGTGAAGGACTTTGGCAGTGTGGGAGGTCGAAGTGTGAGGAAAATCATCCTGATTGATAACAGAGAGGAGGCAGTGAGGGCCATGCAGGAAGCATGTGACAGGCTTCTCCAAGGGATAGATACACCTGATGAAGATAAAGCAAGAGGAGCCACTGCCAGAGCTCCTGGAGGCAGAGTCCACATGGAGGTTATTCAGGGATCGATCGAGAGCCAACAGGTGAGACATGTTGCTGTGATGACGACACTTCACAATAAGACACATTTTCTAAATCTCCTGCTCTTCTCCTAGGTGGATGCTTTGGTGTCTCCTATGGTTGGCCATGATCCTCTCTCTACCCGTGTTGGAAATACTTTGTTTGAAGTAGCTGGACCACAGCTGACCACAAGGTTTAGAAAGGAAGCAGAAGATGAAAGAGACCCTGGTGACTCAGTACTGCTGGAGGGCTTACCTGGACTTCAGTCTAATGCAGTCTTCTTCCTCAATCTTGTTCCCTTTGATGGTGACCCAGATGGAGATGCAGTCCAGGTGAGATATAAAGGAGTGATTTTATTATTCTGTCTGTTTGTGAGGACAACTTTAACTTAGCTATTTGTCATAATGCAGTATTTTTACCCATTATAGGTTCTTCGAATGGGCATCAAAAAGATCCTGTCTTCCTGTGAGAAGAAAGGATTCAGATCTGTTGCTCTTCCTGTCCTCGGTGCTGGGATGGCCCTGCAATTTCCTGTCAGTGTAGTGGAGAGAGTTTTAATGGAGGAAGTTCATGTATTTGAAGAGGAGCGGGTGGGAATCACACCATTCCTGATCCGCATCGTCATTCAATCTAATGATCAGGAGAGACACGAGGTAATGTCAAAGAATTTTACCCTAAATATTGGCTCCTGAGTGTTGCGTGTTAAGAAACACTTTGGCAAAGAAAAGATACGTCCATATCAGTATTCTTTTTTACTTTTCATTGAATGTTTGATTATTTTCTTTGCAGGCATCTGATGTTGTCCAAACTGACAAATTCACTCAAAAGGTCCACAATCTAGGTGAGTATAGAATACTGACAAAGAATGAAAAATAATAATACCCAAAGTGCTGGAGTAATGCATCTAAATTTACTAAATTAACAGCCTGAGGGCAATAGCTCAAACTCTTAATGGAGTGGATTATTCAGACAGTCCAATATTTCATTATCCTTCCTAATGATTGCTTTTTATAAATTACCGAAAACTTGTCTGTGAAGGTTCTCAGTCATCCAGGTCATCGTAGTCAAAGGAGCTTGCAAAGAAAAGCATCTGGACTTCTTTAAGTTACTTGAAGACGTTTCACCTCTCATCTGAGAAGCTTCTTCAGTTCTAAGGTCAAATGGTGGAGAGTCCCAGATATAAGCCTAGTGGGAGTGACCCCCC